GAAGGGGGGAAGCGGAAGGCGCGCCTGAGCGCTGAGGGAGGGCCGAGGGGAGGGGGGAGCGCCGAGGGGAGGACGGGGGGAGGGGGGGAAGGGGGGCCCGAAGAGAGCTGTCGAGCCCCCCGAGGGGCTCCGGGAGGAGCGGGAGAGCGGGCGAGGAGGAGGAGGAGGAAGGGAGGGAGGAAGGGCGGCGCTTGAGGGAAGGCCGAAGTCGCGGCGGCTGCCGGAGCGCGGCCTCCTCCGCTGCCTCCTCGGCGCCTCCCGCCCGCGCACTGCGCATGCGCCGCGCACCCCGCGCATGCGCGCTGCTTCCGGCGCGCACGCGCCGCGCGCGCACTCCCGCCCGCTCCGAGCCGGCGCGCATGCGCTTTCCGACCCGCCCCCGCCGCCGGAGGGTATCGCGCATGCGCGTCGCTCGCTCGCCCCGCACCTACGTGCCGCGCGGCGCCCCCCGCCCCGCCGCGAGAGGTTCGATTTTCTCATTGGTTCGCCGCCGGCCAATCGAGGAGCTGGATGCGTCGAGGTCTGCCTAGCGACGCGGAAAGCGGCTCGCCTATTGGGTGAGAGCGCAGAGCGCCTTCCTCGCCCGCTTCCCGCCGCCGCGCGCCCGCCGCCATTTTGTGAGGGTTCCTCAGGGGGGTGGAGGGCGGCGGGGCTGAGCCCGGGGGCGGCCCCGAGCCTCCAACGGGACCCCCGGAGGCGAACCCGGCTCCTCGGGGCGAGGGGGGAAGCGAAGGAGCCCAGAGGAGGGGAAAACGGAGCCCGGAGCGCGGCGGGAGGGTTGGTGCGTAGAGGCTGAGGAAAATGGTGGCGGCCGTGAGGGGGAGCGGAGCGCTGAGGGGGAGCGGCGGGCCGGGCCGCTTCGGAGCGGAATCTGTGGTGATTTCTGGAGATTTAATACCGATTTAATGCCTTTTCTGCAGCTGTGGCGTGCGGTTACTGAGCGCTGAAGGTGTGGAAGCCGCCGTGCTGTGGACAGGTGCTGTGAGAGGAGCGGGTCGATTAAAGGCTGGATTTAATCCGCGAAGCGGT